TTGAAGGGAGGGCTGGGCAAGGGTGAAAAATAAGAACCAAGAGAGACTATGTAAAGGTGCAAATTCCCAATGATGAATGTCATTATATTGTATACCTACAATGTACCAATGATTAGAATTTAATACAAAAAAACAAACAAACAAAGACACAACTTTTCTAAGTTGTTCCTCTTTGTTATGGTTGTAATTCCAAATGTCTTCTAAGAGACTCATTGTATTGCAGGCTGGGTTGCCAGCTGATGGACTTTTGGAGTGATTGGATCATCAGGGCTCTAACTCTATCAAATGAATTACTCTTTTTTTTTTTTTTTGCTTAAATTCTTTTATTGGTACATTTTAGGTATACTATATATTTACATTTATCACTGAGTGCTTGTACTTGTACATGATGTATCTTGGTTCTTATTTTTTCCCCATTACCTGTGCGCCCTTCCCCCCTTCCCTATTTACATACATTAAATGAATAATTGATAATTTGAAATAGGAAGAAAAGGTCCAAAAGGGTAGGGGAAGTGGGAGGGGAAGGGGAAAGGAAATATTATGAGAAAAGAAAAAAATGGAAACAAAGTCTGTGAATTACTCTATCGATGGAGTCATAATCTGATGGCCTTATTAAGAGGTGTTGGAAACCACAGGAGATAGGTCTTAGCTGAAGTAGATAGGTCACTGGAAGCTCATTGTTGGGGACTGTATTTGGTTGCCAGCCCCCTTCCTCTCTGGTTTTTTCCCTGTTTTTCTGCTTCCTGAATGCCATGAGGTGAGCAGTTTTTCTCCACCATGTCCTTCTTCCATGATGTTTCTGCCCTGCCCAGGCCTAAAAGCAATGGAGCCATTGACCATAGACTGAAACCATGAGCCCAAGTAAAGATTTCCTTCTTAAAGTTAATTTATGTCAGGTATTTTTCACAGTGACAAAAAATTGGTAACACATTCTCCTATAACTGTAAGAAGACTCTCCAATTTCTGACCATTATTTCTTCCTTTGCCTCAGTAGTCTTGCAGGTGATAATGGGTCTTCACTATTACTATTCCTCAACTCTAGTTTTTTCTGTGGCAATCTACACTTTTGTACATATTTCCCTTATAAAACTCTCTTCCTATACTCCTTAAATACCATTTTCCTCAATGATCCATGATACAATGAAACTCAATCAATAGTCATTATTACCATTCTCATATTGCAAACATCAATTTTATTTCAGCCAAGTAGCATCATCTATTGTATTAAAATAAGGATGTTTTTCTGAATTTTATTAGTTTCATAGTTTTACCTGTATTCAATTATAATTTTTGTTTTGTAGTTGTATCTCAGGTCTGAATTTATGCCTATTTTACATTTATACATGTTTAAGTAAATTAGAAACAACATTAAGGAGAATTTTGAAAAGTTTTCACCTTCAAAAAGAGGCCATATATCCATCAAGTTTGAGAATCACCGGTCTAGCTTATTGCTTCCAATACAGTTTCCAAAACATCTCTAAAAAGCATCATAAAAGTTGTCAGTGTGTGAAATGGACAATTGATGGTGAATGCATACCAAAAGACAAGAACTTCATAAAGTTCATTAAGACCCCAGAAGCCATAGACAGGAACAGCTGCACATTCTCCCAATCTCTAAGGAATCTGAAAAGACCTACATAAACCACTGTGGCTATTCATAAACACTAACCTTGATATTCAAGGTTGAGGATTATATTTAGAATGTTTTCAAGTAAAATTGTGCACTCCTTGCCCCACTCCTCTATCCCAGACACATAGCAAGTACGAAAAGGAGAAAAAAATTCCACACAGCCATATTTAAAAAAAACAAAAAACATGACTTTGTGGATTAGAAATTCATTAATTGGAGCCAAAGCCCCTGGCTTGCTGGAGATCAGATTTGGAAGCAGATTGCAACAGCCAGTTCAACTTCAAAAGTATACAGTAATATAGATGAAGAACCAGAGCCAGCTTCATAACTTGTAGACAAAGGTTAGGGGAAGTTTTGTTGATTGATGCTTGGGACTAAAGAAGGACTCAGGCCCAGGGAATTAGGAAAAGACCAATGTTACAACTCAAAAATCTGCCAGCTGGCTGGGTTAATGAATATCCCAAGTTCCAAATATCATTAAAGTAGTAGCTTTGAAGCAGTATTAGAGATTAGAGGCTGGGACAAGTGATGGAGTGGTATGTGATATGTCAGTTACAGAAAGCAAAGGTATATTTCAGTACCAAATGAACCCAAAATATCAGCAAATTTACCTAACAAAGATTTATTCCATTTTCACATCACAGTTGAATGCAAGTCTCCTTGACAGTTGCTCTACAACAATGATTTGGGAATTAAAATGATTCCGCATAGCATTTTTTACAACTTAGTGTTCTTTACATCCACTGATAAATTCAGTGTTCTTGGTATCCTTCAGTGCTTTTGGGACTAGGAGTAATACAAACTACTGATCTAACCTGAAATGAATACAAAGTTGGAAAATGTATAAAAGTAGCTGAATATTTGCTGAGCAGGATCCAGGTGGATTCATTTGTGGATGAGTCTCAAATTTTCTAGGGAAGTAGGTAAGTTCAGAGAGAGAAAGAAACCAAACAACTTCCCATTCAAAATAAGCTTGTAAAAAAATGCTTCAAAATATAACAAGGTTCACTAGTACAAAAGAAACGAAAAAAACATCAGAACAAGAAGTTCCTTCACATGAAAATAATTTCATAGAAGAGATTGAAAAACTTTAAAATAAATATGTTTTACATGTTTATAAAGATAAATAAGTTAGCCAGGAGTGGTGGTGTAATGCCTATAATCTCAGCACTCAGGAGGCCAAGGGAGGAGGATTGTTGCAATTTCATGGACAGTCTGGGCTATATAGTGAGTTTGAGGCCAGCCTGAACAACATAGTGAGACCCTGCCTCAAAAAAAAGATAAATATGTTAATAACTTCTACTTAAAAATGAATTATAAAAATTAAAGAAATAAAGATTTATATAAAAATTATTAGAAATATAGCCAATGAGGGAAAAAAATAAGAACCGAAATACATCATGTAATGGTACAAGATCTCAACGATGAATGTAACTGTATTTTATAACTAAAATGTACCAATAAACTTAATGAAAAAAAAAAGAAATATAGCCACTGAAATAAGTGCAAGGGGGGAATGAAACTAAATTAGATATACCTGAAGACAGACTTAATGGAATATTATGAAAAGGGGTAAAAAATCCACTCAATATACCACAAATAAGAGATTTTTTTAAAATAAGAAGTGCATAAAGGTGCATATCTCCAATGATGAATGTCATTATATTGTACACCTAAAATGTACCAATAAAAGGATATACAAAGAAAGTGCAAATGTGAGATTATGAAACAAATGGAGAGATTATTATATTCATCTGATAAAAATCCCAGCAGAATAAAACAGAGAAAATAGAAGATAAGCATTATTTGAAGAGATATTTGCTAAGAAATTTTTAAAATTTAAGAAAGATATGACATATCAAGTATTCCAAATAGCAAGAAAATAAAAATGAGTCCATACTGAAACATATGTTGAACTAAAAAATATCAAAGATAAAAACCACCTTAAAACCTACTATAGAAGATATTTTACCTACAATGGAATGAAAATAAATTAACAAAGATTTAAAATCTTAAGTAATAAAAATCAGAAAATAATGGAACAATATCTTCAAATCATTGAGAAAAATATACAAACTAGGATTTTATATCTGCTTAAACTACTACCTTGTAATGAGGGAAAAATCATTACATTATGAGTTGTACAAAGAAAACTGAGTTTACTACACACAGTTTCTACTTACAAATGCTATTAAGGGATATGCTTTGGTAAAAAAAAAAAAGACGTTGAGTGGGCTGGGGATTTAGCTCAGTGGCACCATGTCTGCCTGGCAAATGCAAGGTCCTGAGTTTGATTCCTGGTACTGGGGGAAAAAAAAGATGTTGAGAGTCAAGGTAATATGTGTGTCACAAAATGTGAAAAACTCAAAACTAATACAAATTTTTGTAAGGAAAAATCACTTTAAGCCATAAAAGCATAACATTAACAATTTATGTTTAAAAATAAAATAAAAATTTTAAAGTCATAATAAATGAAAGAGAATGATTAAGAGAAGTTAATATATAAAAAGCCCTGTATTGGTCACTTTCTCATTGTTGGAACAAAATATTGAACACACACAACTTAAGGAAGAGAAGTTTATTTGGTTCACAATTTTAGAGGATTCAGTTCATAGTTAGCAAGCTCCAACTTGCAGAACTGGCATGGCAGAAGGGCACACAGAGGAAAGCTGCTCAACCCATAGTAGCCAGGAGGCTGAAAGAGAAAGGAGCACCCTGAGACAAGAATATACCCTTCCATATCACATCTCCAGTGACTCACCACCTCCAACCAGGCCCAAGTCCTATCAGCACATTAAGCTATGAACTAAAAAATAGTTAATCCTCATAATCCAGTCACTTTTCAAAATCCCCACCTTTGAACACATGAGAATTTTGGGAAACATCTCTAAACTATAACATTCTACCCTGACACCCAAAATGTTCATGTCCATCTCATTATGTAAAACACATTTAATCCACCTCTAACAGTTCCAGTATTATTGAAAAGTTCAAGTCTAAAGTCTATTCTGAGACTTAAGGTAAATTCTTAGCTGTAAGCCCTTGTAAAAATCAAAAAGAAAGTTAAATCCTTCCAACATACAGTGTAAACATTCCCATTCTAAAAAGGAAGAGTAGGAGAACAGAAAGGAATAACAAATCAGCAGGGCAAACATTAAATACTATAGATCCATTTCCAGCATCCAGGGAAGGTTGTAGTAAGATGTGAGCTCCAAAGGGCTTGGGGAGCCCTGCTTCCAATATCTTGTGGATGGCAACCTGCATGGCCTCTCTCTCAGGCTAGCTCTGTTCTCTGCTTGTGGCTTTCCACATTCCTAGTATCTCCATCTTCCTGGGGCCTCCAGTGCACTAACTATTCATTTTCAGAGTTTCACACATCATGCTTTCAAAGGCACACTGCCTGGCCTCTCAGGCCTTCATGTGAAATCTGGGCAGAAAGCCTAGGGATTCCACAAATCTTGCATTCTGAATGGCTACAAAATCAGCACCATGTAGATTATACTACTGTCTGCCACCAGTTCAAGCAATAGCTAGGCCCACAGGGACCATGGCTATACTATCATCTGACTGACTAGACACCTGAACTTGGAGATAAACTTCCCTATGTGGTCCTGAGTGAGCAAGGTGCCCCAGGATTCTCTTCTTTCAAAGAAGTTTACATTTTACTGTTTTACCATTTTGTGCTTGCAATGAATGGCATCTGGCCAATTCCTGAGATCCCCTTGAGGCATCTTTTCTATTTTTCTTAGGCAATGTACTTGGCTTCTTTTCAGTGTCTCTAATCTTTTCAGCTACTGCAGTCTCCTTGGCCCCAAATTTGCATGTGCTTCCTTTGTAGCCAAACTGCAAAATTTTCAAATCATTTGGTTGCTTGTTGCTCCTGATTCTCACAGTAGATCTAGCTAAAAGCAGCCAGCAGTACCCATGCCACAGCCTGAACATTAAAATTTCCTCAGCCATATCAATTAACCTGACACCTTTAAATTTAGCCTCACTCAAAATCTCAAAACATAGGGAAAATGTAGGCAATTCTTCGCCAGAATGAAACACCATTTCCTAATAGGATCCTCATTCCCAGCTGAAATCTCATAAGCCTGAACTTTATTGTCAGCATTCCCACTAGCATTCAGATCTTTTACACCCCAACTAGTATTACCCATAAAGCCTGTAACATTCTAGGGTTTCTCTAGCTTATATTTTCTAATCTTTCCAAGTTTCTCCCACAAACCCGTTCCAAAGGCTTCTGAAGAGCATGATCATGTATAGTCACAGTAATGGCCCCACTCCAGGTACCAATTTTCTGTATTAGTCACTTATTTGTCACTGGAACCAAATACCATGCACAGGCAACTTAAGGAGGAAATATTTATTTTGAGTACAATTTCAGAAGGTTCAGTCATGGTTGGCTGACTCCAATGCAGAATCATCATGGTGGAAGGGCAAGGTGGAGGAAAGCTGCCCGAAACTGAGAGAGACGGGCAGAGCTATAAGACTATATCCTTCTAGGTAACACTCCCAGTGAATCAACTTCTCCAACCAGGACCACCTCCTAACAGATATTGAGCTATAACTCATTAATGGTTAATCAACTGGTGAGTATAGCATCCCATAATCCAATCACCTTCTACAAGCCCCACCTCTGGGATTTCTGGAGACAGTTTAGACCTAAACCAAAACAAGTTCCTTATCTTGATTCTCTTTAATTTCTTGAGATTGCAACACTAGACAATATTAAAAGAGACAAAGTCTCAAACGTGGTTGAATCATGCTTAGGGCCAAGTAGACTGCTGTGCTTGACTTTGACAAAATCCAACATTTTTAGGTTTGCTCTTGTATATTCCCTCAATTTTTTTTGTTTTCCAAAAGTTGAAAAAGAAGGGAATTAGATTTGATTTCCAATACTGCAATGTTTTAACATTTTTTTTAAACCAGTCCAGGTGACTGAATTTCAAAAAGTATGAGTGTATTTGAGCTTACAAAAGTATTGGCGAGAAGAAGAATACAATATCTTTGTCCAGTACTCCTCATGGATCACAAAATTACACGCATATACATACACTTTCACACACACAATTATAATGGGCTTTCACCTCTGTTATCATATTTCTGTAGTTTAAACATATAATAAACTACATAAGGCATCCCAAGTGCTTCAAAATGGTATCATACTAAAATTTAATTTTGCCATCTACAAGTGATGAAGAAGAAAAATTCTTATTCTGAATTAGCTTGTGACAAAAAAAAGAATATTGTATGGTTAACAAAAGTGGGAGATGCTATGCAATATCTGTCATTTTGATCTTTAGTTACGATGTTTTAGGGTCAGTGATATCACTCATTAGATATTTGGGAATTGTTGTAATGATTTTAATAATTACAAAGTAAAAAAACCTTAGAATGGTTTTGTGTAGTTGCTGCCTGATGGAGGGATAAAGCAATTGCGATGAATTCATGCATAGCTCAATATTCCAAGCAGCAAACAAGTCTGTTAGAGATAATGATTATAAACAGAAGAATTTTATTGAAGAAAGATATTCATTATTAAAACTTTATTTTATCAAGGTCATTTTTATAGAGAATCTTATTGAATACTGTTATACAGAACACCTTTTGTAAAATAAATTAGATACCATGGTTTTTATTTTATTCCTACCATGTTTTAAACCTAAGTTATGTGAAATGTAGAGGTCAGTTTTTATACCCCTGCAGTCTTTGTTACAGGAAAAATGCAAAAAGTAATAAATTATCTAGTACATCAAAGGAACAGAAAATTCATGCAGTGACAATGTAAAACATATGGGAAATGTGTTCTCAAAAAAGACCGTATCTTACACAAGTTTGGAATTTCTGGACTGATTTCTTGAAGTAGAAAAATCTAATATGAGCATATTTTAATTTATCTTTACTTCAAAATGACATTTCTTCCTCATATAGAGCAGAACTGCAATTTCAAGGACATATTTAATTAATCCTTATTCTCAGAGCCGTATACAAGGATTGTATTAGTTCTTATTATGTATTTAACTTCAACATCTTCTGAGTTTAGTTTCTGATAAGCCAAATTCCTGACATGTAGGAAGAAGGCAAATATCAGATTTCAATTTTTTCATGAGAGCTTAAATAATTTTGACAAAATTAAACTAATTCTAGTCTTCTGCCTACTGATCCACTAAAAGGAGCGTGAGTAAGACTACCAGTATTTATCTCTAATCAATAAGCTACTAATTTGTTACTTGCTACGCCAAGAAATGGCATAAGTGGTAAGAGAACAGAACACACAGTGAAATTAGAACAAAAGCCATGTCTGAGTACTAGAAGTTCAGCAAAGCTGTAACAAGACATTACATGTTGTAAGAAGAGGAAGTTAGGTATCCAAGAGGACATGGAGTCCGGGATACATCTCAAATGAAAGAATAGCAACAAGAGATTGGTCCTATAGGCCCGGGGATTTAGCTTAGTGGTTTTGCCGCCTGCCTCGCAAGCGCAAGGTACCGAGTTCGATCTGCAGTACCAAAAAAAAAGAGAGAGAGAGATTGGTCCTATATTTCAGGAATTTTTTTTCTCCCATACTCTTTAACTTCCTGTTATGCTACAAAATGACAAAGGTAGACATAGAAAAGAAATATAATGGAAATGAAAACTTTTATGTACATTTAGTTCAGTAGTAAACAAAGCACTTTGCAAGGCACTAATATTAAATTAACGGTGTTAAAACATAACTGACCCTAATCATTTCCAAGAAAGGTCAAATGCTTGTTCACTTGGTCTGCTTGAAGCTTATGCTTTTGCTGATTGGCTACTTCTTCTGAGGAGGGAAGGAAATAGGTACAGATGCAAATTATGGTCAACAAGCCCTTCAGTTCTTGTCTTTCCTGAGTCAATATGCCATAACAGCTACTATAGGTTTTGCTAGCATGTATTTTTATATTTTACTGAATCTATTATATCCAATTACATGTTATCTTAAAGATAGTCTAGTGAACTGAACATAAAGCTCTAAATAATCATCAGTAGTAGCTTTTATTTCAGACTGTAAGAACAATGGAAAGGCATATTGATAATATACAACAATTTCATCTCTGAGACATGATTTTTCTGTCTGCATGTGATCAAAAGCAAAATAAGCTTACTTATATTAATATAGGCCATTTTCTAACTCCACTTTAAGTGATTTCAGCCTCCAGCTTCCTATTTTCAAAGACATGGGTCTTAAGGGAAAGGCTGTATTTTAAGCTACTATGTCAAATTGATCAATTTAAAAATACATCTACCTATGATGCACATCTGAAGGAAAAATCCATAACAAAACAATCTGATAGCATTTGTTGGAATCTAGCTAAATAACCCCATTAGAATAACATTTTGGTTTAAAATCAAAAGATTTAAGTGAAAATTTTCTAACTTTTAAAAGTTCCTGGGGCTGGGAATTTAGCTCAGTGGTGTTGTTGCCTGCCTTGCAAATGCAAGGTCCTGAGTTTAATGCTCGGTACCAAAAAAAAAAAAAAAGTTCCTAAACAGGAACAATAAAAAAAAAATCAATCTCTCTCTCTCTCTCTCTCTCTCCCCCTCTCTCTCCTATCCCTATTTCACTCTCTCCAGCCCATGTTAAGATTTTACTGTAAATAGTATTACCAGGTTTTAGTTGTGAAGAAATGATTTGAAGTTGTACAATTGTTACCTAAGCAGTTGTACAAA